AAGTAAAAGCTTTAAGCTAGTGATAGTTTGAGATGGTAATAGAGAAAAGAACAACTAGCACATTGAAATACGTGAAAACATGTATAGCATTGATTGATTAGTGACTGTTGCATGGTACTTTTGAAAATCATGAATCGATCAATGTTAGACAGGTCCACGGTCTTGCGCAACCTTACCCACTGTTCGCGCGTAAGACCGAAGGTCCTTGATTCGAACCCTGCGAGTAGCAGGGGTTTTGTATGCGCACTGTCGTTGATGAGTCCCATACCGGGACGAAACGGCTTTCCAGGTTCCTAATGGTGGACTAACATTGATCGATTCATGATTTCAATAAACAACAACTCAACAATCTCTTTTTACCCTTTCATGCAAAAGAGAGTTGTCTCAGAAGATCAAAGTGCACGGCGTGATCAGAGTATTTTCAAAATACTATTGAATATGTAGCAAAAATACTCAATAACAATGAGTAAGTTGTAAACAAACATACTTTTTTCATCAGTCCATCATTAAAAAATTTACAATGCAGTCTTACGATATTATTATGTACTGTTTGGTAGTTATATCTAGTGACCAGTGCAGTCCATTCTTGCCGGTAGTAGGCAGTTACCGTACCAAGGACAATAGGTGAGGTTGATCAATACACTGGATTGATTGATCAGAGTTTAGACATTAACATTGTTGGATGCCTGTTCAGTGGTCTAAAGTTTAGGTGTTAGTAGGCGCGAGACCGAAGGTCCTGAATTGGATTCCTGCATCCACAGTTTGCGGATGTACACTTTTGTTAAGTCTCATAGTAGGACTTGATGGCCGTTCAGTGCTTCCAAGTTGTCCTAATTGTACATTGATAATTGTGGTTAACTATTAGAATCATCATTCCTATGCTTTGGGTGGTATTAGTAATAATTATTGCAAATATAGTTCGAATAAATGTTTTGTTTTTTACTAAAAATGAAATAAGAGATTATGACAATAGTCATAAATTTGTAGAGAATACAAGTGTAGATATCTGTCAAATCACTAAGTAATTATTAGTTGGTTTGGCTTTAACAAAACAATTTGAAATGTTGAATCCAGTTAAACACTTCTACATATTTGAATATTGTTTAAAGAACTCCAGGCGGAGTTCTCTGGAAGATATAGAAACCTTGACGTATCTGAGCAGTATCAGTGATAAACAAGGTGAGTCTGATGCCGATATGTAGGCGCGAATAGACAAAGCAAAGCCAGCATTCCTACAATTAAAGAAAATCCTGGAACTCAAAACGACTATCAACCAACACCAAAGTCACAATTTTCAATACAAATGTCAAGACACTTCTACTGTATTAGGCGGAAACTTGGAAAACCACGAAAGGTATCGTGCATAAGATACAAGTGTTTATTAACAGAGTTGTCTACGCAAAATACTTCGGATCCGTCGGCCAAACAACATCAGCAACAATCTACTTTGGAAGAAAACAAATCAGGTTACAGATGAAGAAGAAGCTATCAAGGTTACTTTGAAATCATGAGATGATCAATGTTAGATCACCACTATTAACCGGAAAGGTCTGGACTACCGTTTCTTCTTCGTATAGGAATCATCAGCAGCTCCTAGTGGGAATCGTATCTCGGAGGTTTGGCCTAAACTCTAACCACTGAGACGGCCGTGTTTATGTATAGCTTGGAACGGTGTTCGATCGTGTCATAACTGAAAGTTGTTTAAGAATTAACAACGAAATTGTGTTTAAAGTATCTAAATAAATAAAGTTTTAACTAATGGTGCAAGTAAAAAATCGATTATTGATTATTGAGTTAAATATGAATTTCAGACATTTTTGAGTATTAAAACTGTCATTATTGATTGAATCCATTTAAAGAGCTGTATCATACAGTCATAACACGTTCAAACAAACTGTGCTATTATATTTTTGACACATTTGTATTGATGACATTCATCAAATGAAACGAAAAACTAGCTTCCTTTGGATCGATAAGAGTAAATTGTAGACATTTTTGCGGTATTAATGTAACTACTCATAAGTAGTATGAAAACAAATGTTCTAGATTTAAAAAAACGTCAGCTCTGTCAACTGTCCTTTAAATGAATTGATTCGACTGATCGATAACGAATAGTAATGTCTATGAGTTAATCCAGTTCATTTTGTTAGTTTGATCTCGTAGAACCATTTCATTAGAGAATTCTTAATATAATTGTTGATTCACAAATTTGTCAACACGGCGACCTACGCTTGTACAGAAATATGTAAGATACTAATATATGTTTAGAATACCATTGAAGATCCTGACCCATCTGTTATAAAGAGATTAGATTCGTTTAAGAACACCATCAATACATACAATCCAAAAACATCTAGTTGCTGGATATCTAGGTGCCGATTATGTTATAAAAATTACTATTTAAAGGAGTGTTTCGAAAAGAGAGTGATCGAAAATTTAGTTATAGCATATATTGTAAGTCAAAAGTCAGTTCACTATGGTGCTAAGTTGAACAATCAATGGTTAATTTAATAAATAAAATATGCGCTATATTTTGAAGCTATCACAAGGTAGGAAGGCCGTATTACTAAATGAGAAAATGCAGCTATAAGTAGAATGGATCAGCTGAAATTTTGGAAAATGATGTATATGCAAAAGTTTAAAATGCTTATTTCATTAAAACTACTTCTGTAATGAAAAATCATAAAATGTGCAGGCTAACGACTAGCGTTATGTTGAGATTCTCGGAATATTAGCGAGAAGCTGTGACCTGTCGGGTGTAGGTAGCAACTATCGAAGAAAAATGTGAGGCTGCACAAAATCCTTAGGTTGGTCAATGTTAGACACTGTTGAGTGCCGACCTAGTGGTCCAGAGGTTAGGTGTTCGTGCGCGAGACCGGACACCTTGGGTTGGAGTCCTACAAGTAGCAGGAGTCGTGGATGTGCACCGCTAATGAGTCCCATACCAGGACTTGACGAACTTATCAGTGCTTCCAGGTTTCTAATGACTCATGATCTCAGTAATAAACAACAATAAATCCTTGAAAATACAATCTATAATTGTTAGCATCTCATTTCTTAATTTGTTTTACCCATTTGTGTTTGGATTGTCTCATTTTGATTTTGAAACATTACAATTTGAAAATCAAGATTGAATGTGATAGTAAGGTTTTGTGTTATATTGGCGAGCCAATTAAGATTCAAAATGCAAGGTCGTAGCTTGTATTTTCAAAAATAACTTTTACTGGTAATAGCACCTAGGAAAACATCATAAAGTTTTTACACCACATTAGATTGCCAGGAAAAATCAACATTACTGGTTTAATATGTGAAGAAGTCAATGAAATACGCAATCAAATGATAATTCACGTTTTAAGAAAATAAACTAATCAGAAATCACTACTGTCTCGGTTCTATTTATGTTGAAACTTTAAAAATCACGTGAATCGTAACGTGACCGGATTCTTCTGATTGGCTAAAATGGTGAGTAATTCTTATTGGTCACCATTTAATATTCGTTCAATGTTCATATTATGAGTCAAACTTGAGCTTAAATGTTCATTGTACAATAAAATGAAATTCAGTATTTATTTTTACATCGGAATTACAAAAGAACTTATGGTTTTTTTCTCATTGGACAGTGATAATGATACATTAAAACATGACACTTCAGCACAGTTTTTGTTCATTTGTTTTCATTTTTAAATCTATGATTAAAAGGTTTTTCTTTTATTTATTTTCAGATTGAAAAACAAATAAATAAATCTGTTTTTCTATTGATTGATCAAATGAAAAAATTCAACATGACATAGAAAATAGTTATGAATTAAAAAAAATATGTATATATATCATAAAATCTAATTTCTTCAAGAAAATTTTAAACTTCCGTCACATATGCGTAAATAAAAAGTATGAAGAATTAGATGATTAATTCATTCTTTATCACAAACTTTGTCTGTCATACATATTCAATTTTAAAATGTACAAAATTCAAAAATATTTGACATTCTCTTGTTTAAAAATGAGCAAAAATTTTCATTGTTCAAAATTCAATAACAGGGGAAATTGAACAAAAAAGCATAGGTTCTGATTTCTAGTAAAAAAAAAGGTAAAGCAAACAGATACATTAGAAAAAAATTCATTGCTAATAAATAGTATCAGGTTTTCATGGTTTATGGAGGGAATTAGTAAAATTTGAATGGAATTAAATGTATTAATCTATCGTATATATATAAACAATGTTGAACATTGAAATTTCAAATGTCCTCATAATAAGTGAATAGGTGGAAAAATTTCAGAAAGTAACAAAAAAAATATTTAGAAAAGAGTATTTATAAAATAAATATCGCCATATTCGATTGATTGTATTTACGCATTATTTATTATTCTACATTACTATAATAACCATCTTTTTTTGGATAATTTTGTGATGCTCCTCCTGTTTTAGTAGTAGTAGTGGATGTTACATTTGATTGTTTTATATCAGCTGGTGGAGTAGATAAAGGTCTTAATTCTCTGTAATAAATCTAAAAACAAATAAAAGGAGTAACATTATTAGAGATGACTATTTTAAAGTAAATATGAACAATTTCATACGACTTCAAAAAAAAAATGCAAAGCAAAATTATCATGATTAGAATTGTTGGAAATGCAACATAACATGTACCAACCAAATCATACTTGACAAAGAAGTTTTGGAAGATATATAAAAACCTTTACATAACTGGGCAGCATCATTGATGAGTAAGGTGGGTCTGATGAAGGCACGGATTGGCAAAGCAAGGGCAGCATCTTTACCATTGATGAACTTGAGACAGCTATCAACCAATACTAAAGTCAGAATTTTAAATATAAATGTCTAGACAGTTCTACTGTATGGGACGGAAACTTGGACAACTACGAAGGTCATTGTCCACAAGATGTTTATTAACAGTTATTTACAAAAAGTACTTTAAATCCATTGGACAGACACCATCAGCAACAGCCTACTGTGGGAGTGAACAAACCGGATTCCAAATGAGGAAGAAAAGGCTATAGAGGTGGGTAGGACGCACATTGAGGAAAGCAATAAATCGCGTCACAAGACCCTTAAGGTCAGAGGAAAAGAGGAAGTCTATGGAACACATAACGCCGAGAATTGGAAGTAGACATGGAATGAATGAAACTAGAAAGGAAGGCTCAGGACAAAGTTGGTTCGAGAATGCTAGTTGGTGGTCTATACTCCATTGGGGATAACAGGCGTACCTACGTACTTACTTATGTTTGTTACCCCCAATGAAGCATAGGTCGCCGACCAGTTTTCTCCAACCAACTCTATCCTGGGCTTCCCTTTCTAGTTCTGTCCAATTTTCGTTCATTCTTCTCATGTCTTTCTTTATTTCTCGGCTTAATATGTTCCTTGGCCTTCCACTTTTCCTTATACCTTCAGGGTTCCAAGGAAAGGGCTTGTCTTGTGACGCAGTTTGGTGCTTTTCGTAGTGTGTGTCCTATCCACTTCCAACGCTTATTCCTGATTTCCTCCTCTACTGTAATCTGGTTTGTTCCCCCCTCCACAGTAAGTTGTTACTGATAGTGTCTGACCAGCGAATCCGAAGTATTTTGCGAAGACAACTGTTCATAAATACTTGTATGTTCTGGATGACGGCTTTGGTAGTTCTCCAAGTTTCCGCTCCATACAGTAGAACTGTCTTGACATTTGTATTGAAACTTCTGATCTTGGTGTTGATTGATATTTGTTTGGGGTAACAGGTGTAAATGAGTAATTATGATTTACGAAGAGGATTTCCGGGAACTGTATTCTTTTCATAGGTGAGATCACGAAATGAATATCATCAAGTCTCTGATGGTGATCTGGCCAAGATCAGTTAATGATTCCAACTATTATTATTATTATTATTATTATTATAACAAGTACAATACCAATCAGTTTATGAGATCAATACTTGACCTGAGAAAAATGTTTTACATTGTTATAATTAATACATTATAACCATGACGTTTAATTAGAAAAAATAAATGCATACCTTCTCCATTCTACTAGGTACTCGATTTAATATACCCAAAAATAGTGTTGTAGATGGTCTATGTTGATTGCGTATTTTACGTGTGAATTTTTTTAACGCTAAATAAACAAACATTGATAATTGAGAACCGACAAATATAAACGAAGTATCCTATTCAAATTGAATCATTTAAAAGACATATACAATAAACATATAGCACATAAATGAAGTATATACATATTTTGCACTGATTTTATCTGTGTTACTCAGTGGTTGGTATTAAGTGAGAACTCGGAGAAGTTTCTCAAAAAGCTAATCCCTAGTAAGCAAATAACAGTTATTATCATATGGTTGTGAAATTTGTTGAGGTTGATACCCTTGGTTTGATATCTGCTTACAGGGGTCGTAGATGCACACTGTAGATGAGTCTCGTACAAGGACGAAACAGCTGTCTAGTGTCTCCAAGTTTCTAATGGTGATCTAGCATAGATCGATGCATGATTTCGATAAAATAAGATTAACTTATATTTGATGTGAGATTGTAAATATTAGACGAATGCAACTTTGATTTCAATTATGTGAGATCTTAAATGATAGATAGTACAATTAATGAGATTTTATAGATTTAGTGGTTAGCTGAACGAATCGAGGGATATCATGTGACCATGTATCGTATCATATGACATCCTATCAGTGATCAATTATTCATGATTTTATTGAAGTTCAACAATCTGCTCAACCCTAATAATGACTTGTCTTATTATCTTACTGTTAATTTGATTTTTAAACTTCATAGTTTATTTTTTCTTTACTGAATCTTAAGAAATTCTTTTCATAGTTTATCAAGTAATCAGCTGATTCAAAAAAATGGTGTACACTTGATATGAGCATTAGAAATCTGGAAGTACTACTAGACTCATTAACAGAGCGTTACATCTAAACCATTGGGCCGGTGCCAAACGGTGTTAATGTCTAACTCTGATCTAAGAAGTGACCAGTGCAGTTCACTCCTGTCGTGTGTAGGCAGAAAAATGAGTGAGGTCGCGCAAAATCCTTAGATTAATCACAGTTCGACACTAACATGGTTGTATGCCAGTCCACTGTTCTAGTGATTAAGCGTTGTCATGCAAGACCGAAGGTCCTGGGTTCGAATCTTGATAGTAGGAGCGGTCGCTGATTCTCACAGCCACTGATGAGTAGTCCCATACCAGGACGAAACGGCTGTCCAGTAGTGTTTCCAGGTTTCTAATTGTAGTCTAACAATAAATGGTTCATAATTTCAGTGATAAACAGCAATCCCCATAACTTTATAATCAACAGTTGTTAACATGTTATAGCGAAAATCTCATGAATTCTAATGTGAATTAACTTTCTTCATTAACTTACTATATCCAAAAATAATATATCGTAATGGTATAAAATACAGCGTGATTGAAAGTAACAAAATGATCACTAAAAATAAACAGCTTAACCAAGGATATCGCCATCTGCATAAACTTTGAAGAAAAAAAGGAAAAAGCAAATTGGAAAAGTATAGAAGAAGAAGAAGAAAAAATGAGGATAGTGTGTTACATTTCAACATATTGACTTAATTCAAACTTGAAAATAAACACATAAGAAACCAAATTATTCACAATTATCATATTGATGCAACCTCACTTGTCAGTCATATGCAACGTAGAACTTTGTACATAAGTACATCAGTTCATGTTGCCGTACCACATCGGTACAGATATGTAATTGTCAATTCAAATCCAATAGTAGAAAAGGTAGTAAAGGTATTAGGAGTAATCGGAGAGGTTAGGACTACAAGATATTATTCAAAAAGTATGATTCAATGAGAAAAATTTAGAAAGTCAAAACTAGAGGTGTTGAAGAACCCAGAAGGTTAGGATTCGAGAGAATACAAAGAATAAATGCACCGGCGCCATTGCAAACGGTTTTAAGCTATGTCATTCAATTGTCACCATCGATTGGCTACTGGAATTTTACATACGGTTTTCAGGAGAACCAGACACTGCTCACATGTTAACACTACAACATGAATAGTACAACTCAATTCTGTGATGCAATCGCCACACAAATACCTGACACCCTGGTTGATTATTCACATCATACAGCACTATATATAGTGATGATTTCCGATCCATGATGACATCAATCAATTTGTACAGCATGAACAGACCAATTCGATTCATCCATTCAACATGGTTATCAAACTCATTATTATTAACATTTTTGAATATGAAATACAGCACCCCAATGACAATAACCCTCGGGAATGTTGAAAGACAATCACCAATAGGATTAATGAAATCGGTTACCCTGAAAACCGAATTTGTATATGGACACTTAGCAAAACTTGCCAAAATAATGCCAAACGATCCACAATATTCACAACGAACCTCTGGTGTCATAGGAGACTTTCAGCTTTGTACACAGCAATCCGGCTTAAGGTATATATGCCGTATGACTGAAACAGAATGGATGGATTGTGAATAGAGATGGGATTCCTGTATGAAACATGTCAGCTGCATGTACCGGCATCTCATTATTAATAATTACACTGAAAATTGAATACCCTAGTTATCCGCTAAACTAATCAATCACCTTTATGTAAACCATGAACTCTAAATTACTCTTATCATTTAAATCACACCGAACTGAAATGTTACAACTTTGAAGTAGTGATTCAAACAATTTAGTTTTTAGGTCAACTGGTCAGTATCAGTGACCGCTTAAATTTCTTTAGGCCATACTTATTATTGTCTTTAGATCAGTGACCAGAATCACGCCATCAATCCGAATGGTAATTTTAATGAGGTCGATTTCTCGCTGACTTTATAGCCAAGTTTCTCTGACTTGATCAGCTCTACCGATCGTGAGTCAACAGTTAAGTTCACATTGATCCAAAATCCGGTAACTTCTATTCTCTCTGTGACGTAACCCCTTGAATTTGACACTTAGTAAACAAACTCTCTGATATCTTTATTTCAAAAAGACATAATTTATATAATGACCGACCAGATAGCTACACATCATAAAATATCAAAAAATAAAGATTACTCATGTAATTTTGTGTATGTATTTGTGTGGGAATTTGATCACACCCAGAACCATTTTATTGAAGGCACATAGATATGCGAATCTGGCATCCCAGTCCATACCATCCCACGATATCCTCATTTCCATCCCAACCACGGCCACTGAATAACATTCATTGCAATCTCCTCTTTCTTTGTCTTGAGGGGAGCTTTGATCATCCTGGATCCATGATATTCCCGTAATATACGTGCCTTTTGGAATTCTTTTGACAACATCAGTGCAACACCTTGTGTATGTGAGGCATTGTTTCTTCGTCATGACCGAAGCTTATCTTTTTCTTCCAGTCTGCGACCAATGTGTTTCACTTATTCCAAGTACTAGCACAAAATTGTATCTTCTCATTTCCGTAGCAACTTGATTTGTTATCTCAGTCTCTCATGTTATGCAAACATTCCATGTGGAGGAATTTATTTCATATACATACATTTAAGCAGACACAGTTGAGAATGAAAAGTGTACAACACATAAAACGAAGCAAAGTGGAGAAGGCAAGTAAACCAACTCAATGCAGTGAAGCATGGCTAAATATTTGTCGTCACACAAAAATAAACAAAACATGTAATTTAGTCTGGTAAGCATAAACAACACATACACACTCAAATAAAAACAACGACTAAGGATATGATCGAAAAACAAGTGAAAAAGGTTAAAATTAGTTTTGTTCAAAAGTTGTATGACAAGCCATAATATGCGTAGACTGAACACATGTATATTAATTGGTATAGACACAAACACACACGCACACACACACCCAGACACTCTACAAGAGCTAATTGATTAGTTCAACTTACTAGTTAAGTCGTTCAAGGAATGATGTAATGAATTCAGCAATATCTTGTAATATACCAAGTACTGAACGAACTCTTTTCAATTTTGTTGCTAAACTAGTTTTTTTATCTTTCTAAAAATGATAAAAAATCAATAGGAAATCGATGATGGTCGTTGTGACACAGAAGATGAGAAGAGGAAAAACATAAATACTCAACATGTCATGGATGCATTGAAGTTCATAGGCAACATAACCGATTATATGATTTGTGTGAATATCTATTGTGAGTAAATTAGTACTACACAAAAGAAAGTTATGTAGGGTTCAGCTAGTTCATCGGTACTAGCTCTGACTATAGAACGTGGTCATGCAGATTCTAATCTCATGGCATTCTGCTAACTGACTCTAGCTACCAAATTACACCAAAAACGGATCAATATATTTTGTAATAAGTTAGGGATCACAATTCTGAAATGTATTTTGAAATTGTAAAGTTTTTATCTTAAGAATTAGACATCAAAATCATGGTCAAAAGTAGAAAGAGATATATATGTAGGGATATATCTACCTTTCTCTTTAAAATTGCTTCATCTTCATCATCCATATCAGAGTAGTCACCGTAAATCTATAAATTTTGATCAATATTCATTATTGAAAATTGGATGCGTTACCTCTGGATCAATAATGTCTTGATCATCTTCGTTCTAAATGGCAAAAAATTCAATTGATTTCAGCTTCATGTGATTGATTACATGGTTATAAAACATTTGAAACTACTCAAATATTTTATAAGTAGGTAAAAGCTGACTATCAAAAAAATACTTCATGAAAGTTGTGATTTCTTAGTTTTTCAGTAGTTTATAAGATCACAAACTGTTAATTCATAACTTTCAAGTTTCAAAATCTCATGTTCTATGGTTCCATGTTATATTTGATTATAAGCGCGATTTCTGTTATAAACGTTTGAACAGTTGAAGTATGCTGAAAATAGTCATTTGACCACTGTTGCTTAAAGCTTCGATAATTTTATCAAACTAACAAATACAAGTCAGCTTCCTCAAACAGACACAGTGTAGTGAACGAGAACACAGGTTGTGCAACCGAATTGTACTTACGAAAATTACAGAGTTACTCAGTAAAATAGGAAAATCATATCGTAAATCGTTGATTTGCAAAATATCAGTTCATCATATCGAACTGGACTATTCCTGTTGCAAAACATCAATCCATTGTCACTATTCATACGTTTCATACAAATTCCATTGTTTTCTAACTCTTCCTTTCTTGATCTTCCCCCATCTTCTGCTGCCAGACATTACGTTGACACTCACGTCATATACTACTTATAAGTAGCTCGCACCACAACGGGAAACCGCGATTAAAAACCCTTTAGTGTAAACCATTTGTTTATCATTCGTATCAAATTATGATTTAAAAAACACCTGTTTAGTGTTACCTGCTCTCAAAATTAAATCTCTTCATTTTTGAATTAACCTATAATCTAACAAGCCAAACTCAACAATCAATCATTTTCACTTACCTCCTCACTATCAGAATCTTTCGATCGAGAAAATCGAAAGAAATTTATTGACGATGGAGATAATAATGATGAAGAAGTGGTATAGACGCGTGGCACAATCAACATAATAATCATGAATATGGCTAAAGCTACACCAATCATGTATGGTTGAAAAAATAAAACGCTCAATTCAAAAATGATCAAACTGATCAATGATACAAATGGTCTTTCCCATGAATAAAGTTTATGAAATGCTTGTCCACTTTTTTTGAATTGATCTATGTACGGTGTAAGCCGTTCAATATTGCGTTGTAAGAGCTAGAGGATTTTTGAAAAAAATAAAGTGGGAGATAATTAGAACTTGTGAAAATGTTGTATTTTTTCTTTTCTCATTATGTTAAAAAACGATTACGAGCAGTGAAAACATGGACTAGGTATAATGTAATTATTACGCATGCACGTAAACTCGTCAACTTGATATGCTTGGACTATTACGAGTTTGCATTGGTCGGAAAACGAGAGTGAGGATCCGATGACACGATATGCTACTCAAATCCGATTATCCCAACCCTCATTGAGTGAAAGAAGAAGTCTTGATATGAAGTAGGACCTGTATTCTACAAGCAACCGGAAAGTACGAAGTCCGAGTTCAGAAGAGAAACAGGATCCCGGACTAGGGATGCGGGTCATAAAACGTTACAGATAATGCGTATTTATACATTTAGGTCGAATATGAAACAGCATCAAACTCTGTGACATTGACAGTTAAGACGACCAGTGGGAAACAAAATATGAGTGACAATAACAGTCAGGACGATCAATAAGAATCAACGTTGGAGTACATGACATTGATAGCTAGGACGACCATAAAATTGACCAGTAGCAATTAACCAATAGGAATTGACTAATAAATCTCTTAGGATATTGGATGAATATCCTAACAGTAAAATAAGTGGAAACACTTGAAAATGCGAACACTTATTACACTGCATTCACATTAATGCAACAAAGAACAAAAGGTTGTTTCGAGGTTAAAATTTTTGGAAGTTTTGATTGTTAAGTTATGGAGATTGTTAAGTTTAATTAAAATTATGTATTGATCACTGTCAAACAAGCATTAGAAATCTGGAAGCACTAGATGGTGGTTTCATCGTGGTATAGAACACATCAGCAGTGCGCATCCACGACTCCCGCTGCTTGCAGGAATCGAACACACGACTTTCAGTCTAGCGCGTGAATGCTTAACCTACAAACGACTGAGCCGGAAATCTTCATTGAACAAAACAAGTCTGGTCTGATGTTTAGTGAGAAACGCCTAAATTAGAAATGAATATTTTCCAGTCTATTGGTCAGTGCTGTAGAGTTTTATCACTGCTGATACACAGTCATATTGTTACACGGTCTGTCTGAATCAATTATATTTGAGGTTTGAAGTTACTCTACCGGTTAAATAACCATTCTTTAAAGTAAAAGAGATAGATAATTATTGAAAGTTCCTGTGGTCTTGAAAGAGAGTCACCATATTTATTAGTAGAAATAAGTTATAATCTGATTGAAGGGACAGAAGACCAGTAGACTAAATTGAACTTAATGAGGTTGCACAAAACCGTTGATCGATCGATGCAGGCTCAGTAATCTAAAGGTTAAGTGCTCGTGCACGATCTCGAAGGTCCTGGGTTGGATTTCTGTGAACGATGGTCGCGGATGAGCACTGCTAATGCATTCGTATGTCATCAATCTTACTGCTGTAAAAATACAGTCGTTCACATTCTATATAATAAAATAAGTCCATTAGAATATTCGACTGATAATAAAATGTCAAGCTTGTTGTTATGACACTAATTTTTAGAGTTACTACATAATTATAGATTATCCACTTGAGAACATGGACCAACGACTCGTGAAGGTTATCGCTAATCAGAACGTTTTACTTGCAGTCTAAATAAAACTGATGATCCACCTAGGACAATTACACTATGCACAGTTGATATGAACTTCTCAGATGTACAAGAGATTTAGTTGAGTTCCAATTTCTAGTGGGATAATAGTTTTTTAAAGATTACACAGTCATTATTCTTGTAAATTTTTAATATTCACTGTTTCTCAATCACCTAACACTAAACAAAGTGAAGCAATCATTTGAAGTAATGACTGCTTCAGGTGCTCGAATAAGATCACGTATTAAAACAACATGAATTAGTAACGAATCAGCGTCAGATTAGTGCAATAATCCATCACTTGAGGTAACTGGGACATGTGTTACACATGCTCAACCACTAATTACCTCGAGGAGTGATATTGTCTGGTGTAGGGGTGCACTGAAAGAAGGCTAGACGTGACCAAAGCAAAACATGGCACCAGTTCATGAAGTCACTGAGCCATGTTAGTTGATGTAGACTAACTGGTTGGGGTCCGCGAGCGGACAGTAACCGATGGTTAGAGACTTTGAATGACATGTCTCAAAATCGCTTGCAATGGCACAGGTAAATCCATTCCTTGTCTTCTCTTAACTTTTAATGTTCCGAATTCCTTATCACATCCATCCTTCTCTTTTTGAATTTATTTCATTGAATTATACTTCTCAAATCATGTCTTCGATCCCTAAACTCTTCCATTACTGTTCATACTGCTATGACGTCTACTACTATAGGAGTCAGTCTGACAAATCTATGCCTCTTTGATCATGTATTATGTAAACTTGTACTCATGTACGTTCCAGCTGACTGACTGACTGAGTGTAATTATTTGAGAATAAATCAAAAGAAAACTATATACTACTTATACGCATACGAATTTCTAGTCGCTACATCAAAACTAACTTACGGGTAAATGCTTCTTTGTAAAATCCTAAAAATAACATCAAAAAATATATTGCAAATAATTTTCAAATAATTGAATTACATAAGGATTTGGTTTCTGTTTGAGTTAGATTTCAAGTCCAATTAATCAATAAAACTCTAGTCAGTTTGATATTTTAATCAGCTTCTGCCTAACCGACAGTTATTATCGAATTTTAAAAAAAATCTGTTGAGGAATTGATGAAGTTTACTTTGATTTGTAGATAGCATTCCTTACAGATTGATTCAAGTTATGATACTAGTATAAACCTGAGAGCATATGACTGTTTGTTTTTCCATAGTATAGAACTTCGAAGGATTGAGCATCCACGAGCATACACGAGACTCCGAGGCTAATACTTTACTGAGTTAGTGATATGCTTGAAACTATTACGATTTCTGTTTACTCGGTAAGTGGAGCGAAGACAAATTATACAGTGACAGGATAGGTTATTCTAACCCGTTTGTCGCAGGCCCGGCTAACTATATCAAGAAGTATTGATAAGGCGTAGAACGAGTATTCTACAAGCACCCAGAAAATACGAGGTCGACAAGCGAACAAATCGAGCTTATTTATACATGACAGAAACGTCCTTGGGAGAGCCACAAAATAGCCTACTAAAACAGTTCATCAATCAATGACAGTCAAGAATTTTCCGAGTGGGAAATGTGATCTCAAGGTCAACTAAGCAACGTATGCGCGAAGCCATAAAAATCCAGAATTAGGACCTTTTCCAAGTGAGTTTTGGGGATCTAAGGTCCCCAACAGTTAGAATTTATTTCTCTGTATTTGAAACATGCAACACGATAATCATTCATTTGAAACGGTTGAACGTAGATAGCATTTAAAAAGTTTTATATTATTTTGTAACAATATTTATCGTTATTATCGTCATCGGCATCATCGCAAAACTAAAGTTTGTTTTACTCATAAAATAGGTTTTTCCATCGGTTCATGATGTTTATAGGATAAACAAACTCTATGTAGACATCAATAAAAACCATTGAAAATTTTTGGATACATTTCAATGAATCGATATACCATAAATCTGTCTGACAGAATCTAGTTAGTCTACCTTATGTTTATCTACTGAGTTGAGTTGAGCTATGTGAAATAAAAACAATATTACTATGAAGACATCAATATGTCAGGGGGAGTATAGAACACAATGTACATTTACGATGAAGCTAGACGATCTGGGCTTGGCAGATGATCTAGCCCTTCTATCCCACACACAACAACAAATCCATGAGAAGATGGACAGTAAGGCAGCAGCCTCTGCAGCAGATGGTGCCATTATTTACAGAAGGAAAAGTAAGATCCTCTGACACAGCACAACATTCAACAACCAAATCATATTTGATGAAGATAAGCCTTGGAAGATATGGAAACGTTCACATATCTGAGCCACATCATTGATATACAAAGCGGATCTAACGTATACGTAAAAACACGGATTGGTAAATCAAAGGCAGTATTTCGTTGAATTGAAGTACATCTGAAACTCAAAACAGCACTATCAACCAACGCCAAAATCAGAATTTTCAATATAAATATCAAGAAATTTCTACTGTATGAGACGAAAACTTGGAGAACTACGAAAGCCACAAGATGCAGGTGTTTAATGACAATTGTCTACACGAGATACTCCTCAACAACCTACTGTCGGAGAGAACAAATCAGATTGCAGCTGAAGAAATTAGGAAAAATTGCTGGGAGTGGATAGGATACACAATGATGAAAACACACGACTGAGTCACAAAACAATCCCTCACTTGGAATCCTCAAGACCAGAGGAGTAGAGGAAAACTAAAGAACACATTATATTGTAAACTAAAAACAGTCATGAAAAGAATGAACAGCGATTGGGCAGAATTGGAAAGGAAGATCCATGACAGAATAGGTTAAAGAACGCTGGTCGACAGCCTATGCTCTATTAGGGATATCGAACATAAGTAAGCAAGTATAATTATGACAACAAAAAGTTTTTTAAACAATTATATAAATTAACCCTCTATAAACAAAGGGAAATTTTAGATTGCTTTTCAGGAGAGCCAAGGAGACTGTCCACGTGTTAGCATTTCAACGTGAACAGTTCGGCTCAATCCCATGGTGCAATCACACAGGTACCTGACACCTTGCTGGACCAGATAACCAAAATTATTGATTAGAAATGTTCATTAACAACTCTTATTTTAAAAAATTTGCAACAACTTACTCGTAGTTTAACTTTACTATCTTCAACAAATAAACGTTTTTCTTTAGGATATAATGTACGAATTGAAGCTTTAAGCTGTTTAGAACAAAGGAATGAAAAGTGGAAAATTCTGTGAATTGTATTTAACGAAAATTACAGAGTTACTCAGTAAAATCGGAAAACCATATCGTAAATTGTTCATTTGCAAAATATCAGTTCATCATATCAAACTGGACTGTTCCTGTTGCAAAACATCAATCCATTGTCACTATTCATGCGTTTCATACAAATTCCATCGTTTTCTAACTCTTCCTTTATTGACCTTCCTCCATCTTCTGCTGCCAGACATTACGTTGACACTCACGTCATATACTACTTATAAGTAGCTCACACCACACTACTACTACTACTATATTAAAGTGTTAACGAAATCTTCATGTGTAAATTGAAATTGCCAACTGTATGTGTATCGTTGGTGAGTCTCATACCAGGACTTGAAGGCATTCAGTGCCTTCAGGTTCTAATACTAGTATGACGATATCATACTAAATATCAGCCAATCAAACCACCAGAATGTATGAATGTAATTAACATTTATGAAATGATTAATAATAAGTTCACTAGAACATTTTTGATAAACTCCTAATGATCTATAGCTCAGCGAAAACTCTACAATGTCAACAAAATGATAATAAACATTCAATTTGAAATGATGATCAATAAACTTACAGGATTGAAAATAATGATAGTTTGTAATAGAATAGAACCTTTAGCTAATGTAGTCAATGATTTATCTTTTAATGCATACCATTTTTGTCTACGATTAATAAGCTTTAACAGAGAGAGAGAGAGAGAGAGAAACAAACAAACACACCAACAAGTTATCAACTTATCATAAAGTGTAATACAATTTGAAAAAAATTATCAAAAAATCTGACTTGATAATCACAATTCACTCACAATGATGTATGTGTATAAATGAAATTATGATTTGTTCTGAATCAATAATATCATATGGAATGTTGAAAACAATTAGTGGTTGAATATTTTATAGAATCCAAGACTCTAAGGTGAGAATACTTAAGTATGCTCAGAAGGTAAGTCACATGTGCAAATGAAATAAAGCAAGCTAAGTCTATTTAATATCATCTGGAGTCCTTCTAGCATTGTTGAAGGTCACTAATCCGGATAAGCAAGAGAGTTGGGCATGAGGTTAGCGGACTCATCCCGCAGAAAACAAATGTACTAAAAATACCCTAACTAAAACAAATAATTCAAACCATTTAAACTCTATCCTGGTAGTTTGAAAATCTTCCTACAGAAAAGTTACGATGCCCTATGATGAGAATCGAGTTTCTTCGGAAGTCACAAGACCTATGCTTATTTGCACTAACCACATCAACAATTAATGTAGGTATAATGGAATGTTCACACAATAATAGACTCAATGAAACATGTTTCTGAACATTTTATATTGAACTCACTTGTATAAGTGGAAATGAAATACAACCGGTCATTTCAGATGAATCTTTACCTTCATCATAGATAAACACTTCCAAAAGAGAATACATATCTTCAATTGGGCTAGAAAAAAAGATATATATGTATGTAAATCAGTATATTTTTTCAATGTGATATTTACTCAATATATGTATTCAAATCAATTCGTATGATTTTCATTAAAAGGTTATAAAGATTGTTGGATTTCAGTGAAATCATGAATCGATCAACAGTAGCCCAGCATTAGAAACTTGGAAGCACTGGATGGCCGTCGGTTCCCAGTATGGGACTCACCAGTGACAGTGCCCATCCATGACTCACGCTGGTGAGCACCGTACCCAGGACTTTTGGCATTGTGTGCGAACTCTTAATCGTGACCAGTGGAGTTCAACCCGCTTTCGTGTGCAAAGTAGTGCTCACTGAAGACAGTGGATGAGGTCGCGCAAGACCGTTGATTGATTGGAGTTAGACATAAAAACCACTGGATGCAGGTTCAGCGATTTAGAGGTTTGGCGTTTGCGCTCAAGACCGAAGGTTTTTGGGTCAGTCAGTCAGTTGCAACGTAGAACTTCGCACGTATGTACATAAGTTCATGTTGCCATACCACATTAGCACAGAGAAGCAAATGTCAAATCAAATCGCATAGTGATAAAGATAGTAGAGGTATTAATGGTAATGAAGAAGACTAGGGTTTGAAGATATTATTCAAGAAGTATAATTCAGTGAGATAAGTTTAGAAAGACAAAGGTAGAGGTCTTGGTGAATCCAAAAGTTAAGGATTTGAGAGAACACAAAGAGTGGATGCACCTGCGCCATTGCAAACTATTTTGAGCCATATCGTTCAAGGTCTCTAACCATTGGTGACTTTCGTCTCGCGGACCCCAACCACGTAGCCTACATCTACCAATATGACTCAGTTCACTAGTCAGTGACTTCATGGATTTGTGCCATGTTTTGGTCTGGCCGCCCCTAGCTTTCTTCCAACCTACTCCTACACCAGAAAACATAGCTCGTCGTGGCAGTCGGTGGTTAGGCATTCATAACACATGTCCCAACCACCTCAACTGATGAATTGTCAGCACTTCATCTACTGATCTGTCATCCTTACCTAGAACTCGTTTCCTAACGACAGCATTGCTTATTCGGTTGTCCCACGATATACGAGCAATGGATACGCTCTGATAATGAGTTCCATAGTAGAACTTGGCAGCCGTCTAGTGCCTCCGTGTTTCTAATAGTGATCTAACATTGATCGATCATAACTAATATGGAATTAGAAGCAATTAGTCTCTATGATAAATTTTGATAGAACTATGAGAAAACGCAGTCGATTTGTGCAGAAAAACAATTTGTTATCATCTTTAATTTAACCTGATAATCTTTCAGCGATTCCTGCTAATCGCAGGATTCGAACTAAGGATCTTTGGTTTTGCGCGCGAAAGCACAACCTCTGGATCATAAAACCAATGATAACTTTTATAAACTAAAAAGAATTCACTACCCAAGCAGCCACTTAGAAGTAGTATAGACACACAGCTAAACTTCAGATTAAACCTAGAACAAGCAGCTCTAACGATTAAAATGGCATAATTAGCCCACTAAATTGTATTTAATTTAAGGGTTGATATTTTTTTGAATTCCTGTCAGTCGGTAATAAAAAAAGTTATTGTTTTATTTCCAACTTAATTGAGTCTACGGTTTACTATTTTCATTTTAAGCTAATCTAGTGTGACAAACATATCTTACTGGTCACAAAGAAAACAACATAGTTTTGAGTTATTTTTAAATTTGAATAGATACCAATAATTGAACAATGAATATTGAGAAAATTATTCGATTTTCAATGTTTAATAGTGTATGAAATTTCATTTAAATAAATGAGACTGATAATAGTTGAAACAATATTATCAATAATAAACATTATTATTATTATTATTATCACGTACAGCATAACAAGATGGTTGGTTATACTCAGTCGCTTAAATCAACTTACAATACAAATGATTGATTCCATACAGGATTAGCAGTTTTCTGTGCTGTAAATGTTCGTACAACACGATTCACAAGTCTAATTTCACAGAATGTATTCGATTTTCCACTTCGATCTTTAGCCGGTAAATTCGACGCTCGATTGACTGGTAGATAGGAAATTTTTTTTAGAAAAAAAATGAATTTCAAATCTTTTATTCGTATATGACTCAATGAATTACAACCCTGATATGACGAGAACAAGGCATCAGTGCATAAAGGCATTGACAAGTGAACTGAGACTTTCGCGTAGATACAAACTGTATAATTTGAGTTCACACAATGTTAATTAATAACCAATGACTAGAGAACTGAAACGATTTGGTTAGGCATTGTTGTTTAGAAAACATATATTCAAAGCTGTATCTTTTATATTACTACTACTACTACTACTCGCACTACTACTACTACTAGTCGTGCTACTATTGTGGTGCTGTGGTGCGAGCTACTTATAAGTAGTATATGACGTGAGTGTCAACGTAATGTCTGGCAGCAGAAGATGGGGGAAGATCAAGAAAGGAAGAGTGAGGGTAACACAATGGGATTTGTATGAAACGCATGAATAGTGACAATGGATTGATGTTTTGCAACAGGAACAGTCCAGTTCGATATGATGAACTGATATTTTGCAAATTAACGATTTACGATATGGTTTTCCGATTTGGCTTATTATTTCGGCGGCCGCCTAAACGAGATTCGCCTAAGAATTATATACAGAAATGAGAGATGAGAGATTTACTTCATAGCATATTCGACTGTTCGTCCGAAATCGAATCAGATCTTAGGCCACTAGAAATGTTATTCTTTACATAAAACTGGTAACATCAACACAGTTACGATAAGTGAAATGTTTGTTTTTGAGAAAAAAATAACGGTTTATTATTACGATAGTATTCATGTAAAATAGTATCGGATTCATTCTGATTTAGCGCAAATTAGTTAAACTTCATAACTATTAAATAAATTCATCTGTGTTCTTTATTTCCGTATTTAAACTGATAAACTTCAACCAATAGAATCGGAGCTGATTCGGTTTTCAAGTACCAAACCTTTAGGATATCGATTTTTTCGGATTCAAAATTCATGGATCGATCAACTCATACGTTTAGTGCACAAAATAATGGTGTTCTAGATAGAAGCTTTTCGATAATACGATCGAAATTAGCCGGGATTCGTGATTTTAAACAAATTCAATGAGAGACGAACATATTATTTATCGATTTTTTGAATAATTCAATAATCAAAGCAAATAGAACGAATGTAATAATTCTTTTTGAAAAAAATAATGCATAAACAAATGTGAGATTCAATATTAGTCCCTCTGAAAATTCCAACCAAATTTATTCGGCCTTAAAATGAATTAAAAGCTGAACGATGAATTTATTCAATTGTCAATCTATTTTGTTGAATGACTTGTTCAACTCGGTTAAATGTCAAGTTAAGTTTAGAATGAATTTACTGAAATTTGTCTCATGATAGTTTCATTTTATTTACTTTTGTATAAATCTACCATCTCTCACTATAAGATCACTAATCTCACTGAGTTTGATATCTCGATAACATTATCTTTGTCGACGCAAGATCCATCGGCCGAGCACCATCAATAACAACTCACTGTTGGAAGAAATTAGGAAAAAGTGCTGGAGGTGGATAGGGCCCGGATTTCGGACGTCATTCAACTGCATCCTGTGACAAACCCTAACGTGATGCTATCAAGGCTAAAGGGGAAGAGGCAGACCAATGTACTCGTTACACCGAGAACTGGAAACAGACATGAAAAGAATGAACAACAATTTGGTACAACTAGAAAGGAAGGGTCTGGATAGAGTTGTTCAGGGAAAACTGGTTAGTGACCTATGCTCCACGAGGGATATCAGACAGAAGAGAAGTGTTACGCTCGTCTCTAGGTATGCTTAAACTATTACGAGAACAAAACAGTGAACCAGCTTCTAGGTAGGCTACTCTGATCCCTTGACCAAATTGTACCAGCAAGAAGTCTTGATATAGTGTAGAAATTGTATCCTACAAACACCCAGCCAGCACACAATGAATCCAAGCACTCGAATTGCGTTTATTTATACTCTATAGAAACGTTCATGGGACAGTCAAAGAAATAGCGCACTAAAATGACACAGTAACCAAACACAGCCAAGGATTTTCCTGGTCGGACATGTAATCTCAAGGTCAACTGATCGGTTCATGAAATAGATCCAAAATAAAGATATTTATCAAGCGAGTTCTGGGGATCTAACCACCCCAACAAGACGAGACGTCGTTATTTTTTGCACTGCTGTTTTTTATAATATTTACAACTTTAGGAAATTAAATTATGGATATTACCAGTACTTGTAAGAAAAAAGAATTACAATTTTACCACTTACCAACAATATGTAACCAACCGACATCCGACCATTTTCGAAAAGCATTTCTTACTTTCTATAAATAATAATTAATATGTTTTTTGTCAAAAGGACAAGAATAATTATGTTTTAAATTGTGAAATATATCTGACTAAGTATACAAATATATCTACCTAGTGGTCTAGAGGTTAAACATTCACTTGCAAGGCCGAAAGTCCTGGGTTCGATTCCTGCGACTGCCACTGATGAGTCCCATAGTAGGACTTGACGATTATTCTAGGTTTCTAGTGGTGGTCCAACAATGATCGATTCATAATTATTCCACTGCATATTTGTGTCAAAATAAGTATTGGCTATCGATATGTAGTTCTTTATTATATAAGTGTCGGTAATTCTGTCGTATAGTATGATATAACAGTGACAATAATATGATATGTCGTTGAATGGTTTTCGCAACTGAATATCAAGTCAATACCACAGTGAACTGTTCATGAGTCAGTTGATAGTATCATATACAACTAATCAATACAAATGTCACTCGTATGTTCACTGGTGATATCTTGTATTCCCTAAAGTTTGGAATTTGAATTAGTGGACTATAGTAACGCTATAATAATAAGCATTTCAGAACTGCTCATGTTTTAAATTAGTCCACAAAGTTTCAACTGTTTCGCACTGAAACTATTGTTCAACTGAGAAGATTAGCTCAATATGAATAAACTTCTCAACATGTTGTTTTATCAATAGATCAGATGAGAATAAAACTGAGAGACATCACAACAGATGATAATAGATAGTGAGGTCATGGAAAACAAGTTTGTAGCTAATGTTTCACTGCAAAAAAGAAGTCGTTTAAAACTTAAAAAGGAGTTTTATCTTGCTGAAACGCTAGCTCATCCTATCTGGATAAACTACTGGAAATTTTGGATTATCAGCGCGGATACAGAAGTTTGGATTGGATTTTGCCAGTTTGCATCATTTATGGCGTAGGCGAGATATTCACCTGCTAAACAAAGGACCAGTCTACAGTGCAGCTGTTCGCTTCGTTGTACTATACGGGTGTGACACATGGCCATTAATAGTAGAGGATATGCGTAGGTTACTTAGATCTGATTATAGGTGTCTCTGAAGCATTGCTCGTCTATCTTGGGACAATCGAGTAAGCAATGCTGTTCTAGATAAGGATGGCAAGTCAATAGAAGAAGTATTGAAACTTCATTAGTTGAGGTGGTTGGGACATGTTTTACGTATGCCCAACCACCGACTGTCTCGTCGAATGACGTTTTGTGGTGTAGGAGTAGTCTGGAAGAAAGTAAAGGGGTGGCCAAACTAAAACATGGCACAAATACATGAAGTCACTGATAACTGGACTAAACCATATGGGTAGGTGTCGACTACCTGGTTGGGTTCCGCGAGATGATAGTAATCGATGGTTAGAGAACCTAAACGACATAGCTCAGAACCGCTGGCAGTGGCGCAGGTGCATCCACTCTTTGTGTTCTCTTTAACCCTAATCTTATGAATTCCTCATGACCGTTTTTTCTCTTTTTTCCAACTGATTCCTCTGAGGTATACATCTCGAATGATATCTTCGATCACTAACCTTTTTGGATTACCACTAATACTTCTACTGCCTCTACTTTAATGGATTTTGAATTGACGATTGCGTCTGTGTGTGATAATGTGTTTTGGCAACTGGAACTGATGTACGTACACATACGAAGTGTTACGTTGTAACTGACTGACTGACTGAAGTAACATATATATGGTAAATATTTTCCAGACCTATAGATCATTTCACTATATTACTAAAAAAGATCGACACTGCCAGTCCCGAACCCGGAAAAACGAGGAGCGTTGGGCATAAGACTGGCGACCCCATCCCGCTGAAAATCAACATGTCACAAGAACACCAACCAGAAAAAGTATTGCTAGCCGGCGGGATGGCTAACAGGAGTAAGTAAGCAAGTAAGTAAGTAAGTAACGAGTAACTTACATAATATTCAGCAACTTGATCTAATGTAGTCTTCGATACAGGTTCTTTAGATAAATCACCATAAATAGAATCAGTCTCCAGTTTCAATTGATCCGATGAAAACGTTCTAGGTATATTACCATTAGAAATTGGAAATAATCCAGTCATTGTAGCTAAGATATACAATTCACCATGACCACGGCCATCTTGATTATTCAACGTGAAACATGTTGTCCAGTCTAGGACAATTTTAGAAAAATCTAAATAAAATCTAAATTTTTTATAAATTTTAATTAAAAAAACAGAAACAGAGAAGGGATGAAATGATGTATTGTGTAACGGAAAAACAAAATGCTTAACTGATAAAACTTTATCAGTTTGAAATCAATTTAATGAGGAAAGGAAAATTGGACTATAGGACTTCGCGTGTTAACGTTGTATGTCATAATATCTCAAGATCTCAAGTTTGATTTTTGTAGGGGTTCGTCACTTGGTGTGCTTGAAGCTATGACGAGTTCACCTTAGTCGATAAGCGCGAACGAGACAATGAACCAGCGTCCAGGTAGGATACCTTGAATCCCAAGCTGAAGATAGAAGACTTTGCAAGCGTAGAAAGTATATTCTACAAACACCCAGCAATCAAGCAAGAAACAAATCAAAAAGGGGATACAATCAAAACAAATGCGCAAACAACGACAGGTTTAAGGTCAACAACAACCAATCAAGATCGAGGTTAGCAGAACAAGCTACAAGTCAAACGTGGAGAAATTCGAATGCTTCGCTGCTCTACCTGAAGTTTGTGCTGATGATGTTGTTCAGAAGAACAATGAAAGCTCCACAACCAAAACAACCAGCTCGGAGAACGAAACACCACCACCACAATCATCCACCTGAGCCACAAGTTTTCTCCACCAACTCAGCAATCACAATACAATCAAGCACATAACTCTCGTTTATTTATACGTCATGGAAACGTCCTTGAGACAGTTAAGAAAATAGCACACTAAAATACACAGCAGTCAATCACAGCCATGGATTTTCCTGGTTGGAAATGAAATCTCAAGGTCAACTGATCAGCCCATGCCGGCAAACGTGAAACCCAAAATAAGGCATTTAACAAGCGAGTTTTGGGGATCTAACATCCCCAACAATTTTTTATTTTACTGGACCGTATTGCAAATGCATACTGTTGAAAGTTTTCAAACAAGAATTGTCTACCATTGTCTAGTGCTCAGTGGTTTTCAACCAATTATTATCCGTGACAAATATCACTTACAAATAACTTTGATACCCCTAGAAGTAGATGGTTAACTGGGTAGGGTAATCATTAACTCAAAAGAAACTTACAGTATTTAAAAACTCTACATAAACAACTTCATGTGTGTTGGGGACGTTAGATCCCCGGAACTCACTTGGGAAAAATATCCTAATTTTTTGTAATTTATTTCTGAAATGTTGAATTTCTTATGTTTCTGCGCATAAGATGCTTAGTTGACATTCAGCTTACATTTACCACTCTGGAAATTTTTGACTGCAATTGATTGATGGATTATTTTAGTATACTATTTTGTAGCTCTCACCAAGGGCGTTTCTATCATTGTATAAATAAGCCTGATTTGTGTGCTTAGCAACCTCGAATTTTCCGAGTGCTTGTAGAATACATTCTCTACTCCTTATCAAGACTTCTTGATCTAGTTAGCAGGGCCGGGGACAATCGGATTAGAATAGCCTATCGTGTCACTGCATCGTTGATCTTCGTTCTGTTTACCGAGTAAGGTGAACTCGTACAAGTTTAAAGTATATCAATTGACAAGCATATCGATATGAGACTAATTATTCCCATTAGTTAGTTTGTCACTACTTATGAATGGTAAATCGACCTGTAACCCTTCAAGGGTTATTGCCGGTCCCAAGCCACGATAAAGGAAAAGGGTTGTGTATGGGGTTAGCGACCCAATCCCATAGAAATTCAGCTCTCCAAATAAAAATAAAATAACCAGAGTAAATAATTCGCTGGTCGGCGATCTATGCTCCATTGAGGGTAACAGGAGTAAGTAAGTAAGTCTGAATGTATATTTAATCTATGCAATAATATGAGCTACACCCCCCGGCTTTAAATGTCTTCCTGTAATGAAAAGTACCTTCGTAATCATAACTCAGTTGGTCAATCTTTAAGTATAATGAAAACTATGTGTTTGTTAACGTATTCATTCTTACTACCATGTTAGATTATTTGAAAAAATTGTTAATACTTATAATTGTGTTTTGTAGCTTGCGTTCTGAATCCAATTTTGGACGAACAGTCAAATACGCCAGAAAATAAATCTCTCATCTAATCTACGTATATCAATCTTAGACAGAACCCATTTGGGAGATGGTGGTAATAAGAAGCTAATTACGGTTTTGTCGAGGAATTCATTTCATACATTCCTACACGCAGACAGAGAAAGCGAAGTGAGATAGAGAAGGCGATTGAGTCAAATCGATGCGATGAAGCATGACTAACTATTTATAGTCAGATGGAAATAGGCTAGCCATGTGATAAGCCAAGCAAGCGATACACATACGTTCACATACAGTCGACTAAAAAGCAACCAAAGTTATGAGCGAACAATAGACAAGGTCAAAAGATGTGCGAATAATAACCCAGGCAGAATGAATGAATTAATTTGTTATATCACTTATTTATTAGCAATTGAGTTTCTGAGAAAAAACAAGAAAACTTGTATTATATTGCCCTTAACATAGTACGACAAAATATCCAATCATAAATCATTTATTTCAAGAAATATTACAAGATGTAGCGATATGGACATTTTTACATTACTTACTTACTTACGTACGCCTGTTACCCCCAATGGAGCATAGGCCGCCGACCAGTTTTCTCCAACCAACTCTGTCCTGGGCTTCCCTTTCTAGTTCTTTCCAGTTTCTGTTCATTCTTCTCATATCTTTCTTTATTTCTGGGCGTAATGTGTTCCTTGGCAATCCTCTTTTCGTTTTACATTGAGGGTTCCATGTGAGGGCTTGTCTCGTGACGCAGTTAGGTGCTTTTCGCAATGTGTGTCCTATCCACTTCCACCGCTTCTTCCTGATTTCCTCCTCCACTGGAATCTGGTTTGTCCTCTCCCACAGTTCGTTGTTGCTGATGGTGTCTGGCCAACGAATCCGAGGTAGTTTGCGTAGACAACTGTTAATAAACACTTGTATCTTCTGGATGATGGCTTTGGTAGTTCTCCATGTTTCCGCTCCATACAGTAAAACTGTCTTGACATTTGTATTGAAAACCCTGAATTTGGTGTTGATTGATATTTGTTTGGAGTTCCAAATATTTTGTACACATTAAACATAAACAATACGAATATCATTTCAAACAAAAAATATTTTTTCTCTTTAACTTACCGTCCAAGTAGATTAGTATTTTGATGTAAATCATCAAACACTTCACATTGAAGTACTGTTCTCACTCCAGGTCGGACACGAAATTCAAATCGTTCATACCACGATGGATCTCTTGTATGCATAACGACCTTGTGTATATATGATTTATGAAAAGTAAGCAATATATATATATATATATATATATATATATATATATATGTGTACAATGGATATATAGAAATATATAAAATATGATAGATTTTTTGTGTTGAACAATTAGAGTCAATTTGATAACGTGAAAATCAAAAGAATTTCAATACAAATGTCAAGAAAGTTCTACTGTATGAGGCGGAAACATGGAGAACTGTAGTAGTCATCATTCTTCAGAAGATACAAGTGTTTATTAACAGTTTTCTACACTAAATACTGAGGATTCGCTGGCCAGACACAATCAGCAGCAACCCACTGTGGGAGAGATCAAACTAGATTCCAACTGGGAAATAAATCAGGAAGAAGCGCTGGAAGTGGATAGAACGCATATTGAGGAAAGCACCGAACTGCGTCGCAAGACAAGCCCTCACTTGGAACACTCAAGGCAAAAGGAAAAGAGGAAGGCCAAGGAACATATTACGCCGAGAAATGGAGAAAGATATGAGAGGGATGAACAAAAATTGGACAGAAGTGGAAAGAGAAGCCCAGAACAGGGCTGGTTGGAAAAAACTGGTGGGCGGCTTATGGTCCATTGGGGGTCACAGGCGTAAGTAACTAAGTAAGTAAGTAAGTAATTATTCTTATTACTATAGATGTTATATTTGTCTAGCTTCAAATAACATGCAAGATAGCTCAGACATCTTTCCTTGTCTTCTAAGTTCATTAGTATTCTTAGTACTATTTCCTTGCAAAACAATTTCCTTATTCTCTGTTTAAGACGTTATTAAACATTTATTTGACTCAATAAACAATCATGTTAAAACAACTTTCATCGATAGGTCCTACTTATTTGCTTCAAAGTATTTTGTTCAATTCGTGTTGATGTCAAGCTGATATCAAGGTACGTATTTCAAATACTATCTAAACTGTAACATATTTGTCAAATCTTGATCTTCAGCGAGTATATCTGGTTTATTTTTATTTCTGTAACAGTGTACGTTTACGTATTTATGTAACAAACAGACTTGGTATGATATACATATATGACTGTACTACGAGAATTGAGCTATAAAGACATTGCAATTCAGTGAAGCCAGCACTGCACTTGGTTATTTACATGTGATTTCTCGCTATAATCCATCTGTACTTTATTTATATGTTATATCCAGTTGTAATCTAACTGATTGATTTAATGCCGCTTAAATTACACTGAAGGTTTTTTCCCAACACGAAAAAACACTGCACTTTAGCTATTAATTATTGCAAGAAAAGCATATCGTTTCTTTGAGAAGTGATACGGTTAATTGTGACGTTTAATTGGGGATGAACACATGAGAATTTTTGAAATAAATAAATACGATATTTTGAAATCATCAATCAATCGTCATTAGACCACTATTGAGATTCTGGAAGCACTGGATGTCCATTTCGACCTGGTATAGGACTCATCAGCAGTGCGCATCCGCGACTCCTACACCTAGCAGAATTTGGACCCAGTACCTTCGGTTTCGCACACGAATGCCTAACTTCTGGACCACCAAGTCGGTGCTATCCACCGTTGTTAATGTCTAACTCTGATCAATCCAGGGATTTTGCGCGACTCCACTCATTTGTCCTCGGTAGTTACTGCCTACACCCAACCAGGATAAACTCCACTAGTGGTCTAACAATGACTGACTATTGATGATTTCAGGGTGTAATAACACTGATCTCCATAATTTAATTTATATAAAACTTACTTTACTTTGATGTGTTTTAGTTCCAACCGTTAAAAATACTGTTGGACAAGGTAGATTGTTCTTTTCTTCATCAACACCATTCATCGGCATTGAATCTGGATGACCACGTATTATTCGACTATTACGTGATGGTTTACCATGTTCCGATTCATTGACAGCAACCATAACATTTTTTGATTTAGTGCGAACTTTTAAATTTTTTGCACCAACCAGTGTAACAATTAAACGTGATTGTTGAAATAAACTTTCCATGTGTATTTCATTATTCAATATACACAATTTGTCAATACTTTCATTACTGTCAACAAATGGACATTTACTTGTGTACAATTCAAGGCTAGTACCTTCATAAAAACTATACGGCCATATTGGTTGAGGCAGTAAATATTGATTACGCTCCATCCAATTATCTTCAACACGATTTGGACAAAATTTATCAGTTTGTTTTAATGTATTTAACGGTACATCATCATTTGGCGCCTCATCTATAAAATCCAAAATTTCTGTTGAATCACGATTTGATTGGTTGTATTGTAGATTAGATTGTATAGTACTGTTTGTCTTGTAAGTTGTTTTTTGTTGTTGTTAAAAATCAAAACCAAATATAATGTGTGTAGAATATTTTTTTTGCAATAGTAAGGTATGAAAATTAATTAAAACCAAACGCAAAAAGAGGGGGAATATCGAATTTTGCTTTGACATACTTTTCGTATGGCGAAATTGTAAAATAAGTTGAAGGATAATGAAGCATGCGCAAATTATTGTCGATTTCTCTCCACATCGCTTGATATCATAATTTTGTTAAGTGTTCTATATGATAATATCAGGGACTAAGCGGTATGAAGCCGAATGGTGAAACACTGAGAGATTGTGGCGAAAGCAACTGACAAGGTGGCTTATCAGTAGTTTGTAGCGCAGCATTGCCTAGAATTTGCTACCAAAGAGAAGAGTTACTTTTTGAAATCATCAATCGATCAATATTAGACCATCATTAGAAATCTGGAAGCACTGGACGGCCGTTTCGTCCTGGAGTGGGACTCATCAGCAGTGCATATCCAAAATTGTTGCTATTCGCAAGATTCGAGACCAGGACCTTCGGTCTCGCATACGAACGCTTAACCTCCGGACTATTGAGCCGGTACCTAACGACGTTGATATCTAACTTCGATCAATTCATGGTCCTGCACAACTTCATCCACTGTTTGTGCGCAAGACTGAAGGTCCTTAGTTTAAATCCTTCAAGCGGTGGGAGTTACGGATGCATACTGCCTCTGATGAGTTCCATACTAGGACTTGACAGATGCCCCGTGATTTCAGGCCTCTAACAGTGGTCTAACAATGATCAATTCATGATTTCAATACATCTCAATCATCTTCAGAACTCTGTAATGAAATTATAAAAATGCACTTCCTATTGACTAGATTCGTGGGGAGAAAAGCTGTAACCAGTGTAGTTCGACCTGGTTGGTTGTAGGAAATTATCCACGAAAGATGACGGGTGGACTGATCAAAGTTAGAAATTGATGTCAATGAGTGCCGGCTCACTGGTCTAGAAGTCTAGCGTTCACTCGTGAGACCTAAGGTCCTGCATTGGATTCCTGGCAGTCGTGAATGGGCACTATTGGTGAGTCCCACTCTAGGACGAAACGGCCGTTCAGTGCTTCCATGCTTCTAATGGTTATCTAACATTGATCGACGGATGATTTTAATCGACTACCGTTTATCATCTATTCTATTGTTTTCACTAAGATTAATCAGAATGAATGAATGAATGAATTATCCACTGAATGGATTAAATAATGATTAGTAAAATTTTTTGTCACTTACGGAGCGTACTTGACGAAGTTGTCCTTCTATTTTCGAACCCAACTGATTTATTTTAGACTGTAAATTGAGATTTTTAAAATTAGGTTTTTCCACTTTTTTTGTGTATGTAAAAAGTGGTTATTTGATGATTGAAGATTTTAATATTGTTTAGTTTTTTTGGCATAAGCTCTATTCAGTCACTTGTGAATCAAATCAGTTATAATATTAAACAGAGTAATTAGTGGTAGTAGTGCGAGTAGTAGTGGGTGGTATAGTAGTAGCATTATGAGTAGTAGCAGTGGTAGTTATAGTAGTGTAGTGAAAGAGAACACAGGTGGGGCAACCGAATAGTATTTAACGAAAATTACAGAGTTACTCAGTAAAATCGGAATATCATATCGTAAATCGTTCATTTGCAAAATATCAGTTCATCATATCGAACTGGACTGTTCCTGTTGCAAAACATCAATCCATTGTCACCATTCATGCGTTTCATACAAATTCCATTGTTTTCCCACTCTTCCTTTCTTGATCTTCCCCCATCTTCTGCCAGACAATACGTCTACAGTCACGTCATATACTACTTATAAGTAGCTCGCACCACACTCGTCCCCCCTTTTAATAAGCTGTCGTCGTAGTCTTTCTGATCGCCGTACCGCTGTCTTCTTTGGTGCTTTTCGTGACTCATACATTTGATAATCTTGAAACCATCTCTGCAGTTGACTAGCATTTACGCGCTCCTGCTTGTTTTCTCTCCGTAAGCCCTTTTATCTGCGGATGATACGGTGTAGTTCGTATCCTCTTGACGCCAAACTGCTTTAGACGGGCTTTAAACTCGTCACTTTCAAAACAGGGACCCTGGTCAGTTAACATCACCTTCCGTATTCCCTGACGCGCTACAATATGCCGGATTACCACATCAGTCATTGTTCTTGCCCGCTGGTCTGGAATGGGTACGGCATCTATCCAACGTGTAGCGTTTACTAGTTCCCGCTGCTGGGACACGGAGGCAGGCACACTCTCGATAAATCGCGACGCCAACAACTGTGCCCCCGACACCCATCCATACTCGGCAGCGCACGGCGCAGCAATATCGTGAGCTCCACAGCCAGCACCAGTGGGTCACAATCGACGGACAACCTCGCTAACCGGAAACTCTGCGGCGCCTCCTCCCTGTCCAGTGGGCCGACCACAGTAGTAGTCGTAGTTATAGTAGTATTGTGAATAGTAGTAGCAGTGTGAGTAGTAATATTATCCAAACTTACACGAAATACAAATCGATTTTATAACTATTCGTTAAATAATTCCCTCTCATAGTAATAATAATAATAGCTACGTTTGAATATTTAAAAACAATGCAAACTGAATTTAAATGTTCATGAAAAACACCATTAATGAGATACATATTCAAAAATAGATGAACTACGAAATAAATCACTTGGATTGATCTGTCAATGATCAATAATTACTATTTGTAGATATTTTGTTTCAATAGTTTAATTCGATTTAGTGAAGTGATATAGAAACAACAATATCAACTATAACGGTCATTGATTCAAAAAAGGTAAGAAGCCTTGTAACATTCTATTTTGATTGATGCCCATTTTTCTACGTGGGAATAACCGGTAAATCGTCTTTTACCGTGCTCCGGTAGCCTAGTTGGAACTCCGCCTTGAGCCTCTCTGGGGCTACTAACGATCCCAAGCCCGGATAAAAGAGGAGGGTTGGGCATGGAGTTGCCGACCCCATCTTGTAGAAAACGAACTCGATAAATTATCGCCAACTAGAAAATAAGTCAAACAATTTAAACGCTTAGTTTGGAGTTAGAAGGTTTTCATTTAGAAGGGTTATAACGTCTCATGATGAAGACCGAGTTTCTTCGGAAGTCACGAGGCCACATTTTCTACCATTACAATTTTGTCGTGTTTGAAACTGTAAAGCGTGATTATTTTTTGCAAAGAAAACTAACTATTCATTGCTCAAACTCACAAGCTGGACTTTATTTTCTGATATTCTCTAGTTAAGTGAAATATAAAAATGTTCAAGTGGTTTGCACTATCATTCTTGTTATCTACTTATATAAACTTTATCAGGAATTCACTCAGTCGTAATATGATTGATTAAATTCAAAAGTATTTCGAAAACAAATCAAGCTACTTATAATACTAATCAGTAGTAATGTAATAATAATAAAAAACTTACCAGTGAATTACCAATAATTCCTGAACGTACTGGTTGTGTTATGATATTTTCTGGCATGGAATAATGATCAACTGGTGTGAGCTGTTTAATTAGAAAATCGAAGAAAAATTCATTTGTCAAATAATTCGGAGGATGAAATTATTTATACCTAGAATTTAGATAATTTCCTATTGGTTAGTAATATTCAGAAATAAGTATTTTCAATCTTCAAGGAACTATTGCTTATCGAATTTTCAAAGCCATACTCATTTATTGGAATGGTTGTAGGCATCATGACTGGGCTCATGGAATCGTAAATCAAATCATCATGATAGTGGGTAGGTGTTTTACTAAATTGTACTATATTCAATATCATCTACAAGTTAATTCTGTTATTTTATTGAGAAATGACCGATGTTAGGCCACACTATTAAAGACGAAGTGTCACTGGATGGTAGTTTGATTATTGTACGGGACTCATAAGTGACAGTGCACATCAACAACCCTGAAAGCAGAAGTCGAATTCAGGGCCTTCGACCTCAACAATTTCCACAACCCCTGCGAAGACAATAATCTTGTTCTCACTAGTGATTAGCTTCCTGAGGAAACTTATACGAGTTCTAGTTAGAGGGTTCGCCCTGTCAGGCGTTCGGCAATTGCACACAGAGGACAATAGGTCAGTTCGGACAAGACAGTGGATTGGCTGAAGCTAGACATTAACACTAATTTGTTTATAAGGTTAACCACTGGCACGAGGGACTGGAGGTCCTAGGTCCGACTCCTGTTCGCAGGGTCTTGAAATCGCAATGCTGTTAAGTCCAGTACAAGGATGATCCGGTCGTTCAGTGCCTCCAGGTGTCTAATGTTGGTCTAATATTGATCAGTCTTTATCGAAATGTTTTCACTTAGGTTAGATGCCTAGCTATTGCCTTTACAAAATTTATTACTAGCTATCAAAATCACCATCTACACCAAGATATCTGCAGTTGACAGAGTGAATTGAGCATATCCTGAAAATGTTACACAGAAGACATTAAATTACTTACACATTAACCGTGATTACATTTACTTCACAAACGATTACCCTGGTACATTAATAATAATTAATTATATTTCACCTTGAAAATAAGTTATCGCTGCAAAAAACTATTTGCCTTCCGGTTCAAGACTCATCAAGAGTGTATACTGTTAAGTAGTTTTGTATTAGTACTAAACAATATTGTACTAACTGCCTGATTTCCAACAGTTGTGTCTGTCTTTTCACTGGCTACTATTCCCTAATAAAAATAATTCTTTACTCTAATTCTTTTTTTTATGTTTGAACAAGCATGGAGAGTAAACAGCTGAAGAAGAAGAAGCAAACGGTTGAATAGTTCTAATGATCTAACATTTTATCGATTTGTTCGAGAGAATTGATTGGTTAAAGAATAAGCCAATCAACGTGCTCTGATTTGAGACAGTTTAAAACCAAAAACAAGTCAAGACTATCATATTGGTAGATTGTCTAGGTCTGAAAAGGGTTTTTTATCAACTAAATCCGCTTCATTTTCATTCAATTGAAAATACCGTTGGATGCTGCCAGCTCTTAAGGTCTAGAGGTTAAGCTTTCTCATGTGAAAGACCGAATGTTCTGACTTCGATTACCACGACTGGCAGGAGTTGTGGATGCTCACCACTGAAGAGCTCAATCCTAGAAATCCAATGTCACCCATTGTTTTCAGGTTTCTAATGGATGGTCTAACAATGATCGATTCATGATTTGAATCAGCTTTAAATCAAACATCTACTATCAATGTTCTATAATAATAATATACAGAGACAGACAGATACAACACAGAACTTCGTACGTACGTGTACATTAGTTCAGGTTGCCATACCACATCAGCACAGAGACACAACTGTCAGAGTGATAGCGATATTAGAAGTATTAGCAGTAATGGAGAAGATTAGGGAGCGAAGATATGATTCGAGATGTATAATTCAGTAAGATAAATTTAGAAGGAGAAAGATAGAGATTATGAGGAATTCAGAAGGTTAGAATTTCATAGTACACAAAGAGTGGATGCACCTGCGCCATCGCAAACGATTCTGAGCCATGTCGTTCAAGGTCTCTAATCATCGCTGACTATCGTCTCGCGGACCCCAACACAGGTAGGTAGCCTACATCTACCAAAATAACTCAGTCTACTTGTCACTGACTTCATGGATTTCTGCCGTGTTTTGGTTTTGCCGCCCCCCTAACTTTCTTCCAACCTAATAATACGATTCATATTAATAATAATGCTATTTTTCAACATGTAAAAACATGTAAAACAATTTACCGTTGATGTTGTAGTAATGGTACCAGGTAATTGGGATGAGAATTCTGTAGCAAATATACGTGATTTTTCTTCTTTCAATTTCTTTTTCAATTTTTTACATTCAGAACTATCAATAACTGCTTCACTAATTTCACTCAATGTTACATAGAATTTAATTTCACCGGGATTTGGTGTTTTATTAGAATCATTGTCTAATTTTGACACGAATTCATATTCTCTATTGGGAAATTCAAAAACAAAAAAACAAACAAAGTAAATAGTTTGAAATAAATTGAATCGCAGGAAATTTTTATTATGTATACTAATGTTTCACATTTGAAATTATGAATCGATCAATGTTGGACCACCATTAGAAACCTGGAAGCACTGGACGGCTGTTGCATCCTGGAATGGGACTCATCAGCAGTGCATATCCACGACTCCTGCACCTTGCAGGGTTGGAATCTAAGGCCTTCGGTCTTGCGCGCGAACGCCTATTCTCTGGACCAGTGAGCCGGTATCTAACGGTGTTAGTAAAGCGACAGTGCTTGTATTTCTTCCCAACATATTAATCAGGGTCGAATTTTCGGAATCGTATGGCTTCTGGTATTTGTAGAAGGCATGATCGAACTCAGTTGGGAAATGATGGAGGTATACGATAGACAGACCCCTAGAAATGATTCAAATTTACCAAAATTATGACTGCTATCCATCTGATTTGTCAAGATAGAGAGCTACGCATTATCTTTCCAAATCATGCTGAGAGATGTTCACTCATTCATTGATTAAGCTTCCTGGTAGCTATTTCCACATGAGAAGCTGAATTTGTAATTCAAGTGACTGATCCTTAGTTTGAGTAGACATCACATGGTTGACTCGAAAAAGATTGGCTATCATCTTAGAATGTTATACTAATTAGCTTCGTTAATCTATCATGCAAAATATCGCTTCCAACTTCTTCTTTTACAGTACACACGCGCTGGGATAGCCGATCTCGGTCAGTAAGTTGTTGGTCAGTTCCAGCTCCCAATTTAAAGTATTTATTGGACAGATCTTTTGTCTCTTTGTTGGGATGGCCAATCTAGAAGAAAGACATGCACATTGTGGAGTGATGAACTTATCGATTAAATCCTTAATTATTTCAAGGGCAGTCGGTCGATGAACTATTGGATTTAATATTCAAATATTTAAACGACAATATCGATTATATGTATAATTGTATAAATACGCATGTTTGATTGTATATTTTTGATTCTGTTAATAAGTGTTCTCCAACGTCTTCCGTCTTCTTATTTTTAACGGTGGGAGTCTAACGTTCGGGGGTCATTAATACAGTGGTTTGGCGTTACATCAAGCAGAAAACATAAAACTCTTCTCTGCTTGTTAGACATCAATCAGCCAGTCGACAGCAACACAGAACTTCGTACATACGTACATCAGTTCAAGTTGCCATACCACATTAGCTCAGAGAGGTTATTGTCAATTCAAATCCTATAGTAGTAGAGGTTTTAAAGGTATTAGCAGTAATAGGAGAGGTAAGGGTTCGAAGATATTATTCAAGAAGTAGACTCTAGTGAAATAAACTTAAAAAAGATAAAGGTGACGAGGAACTCTGAAGGTTAGGATTTGAGCGGATACAATGAATGTATGCACCTGAGCCGTGGCAAACGGTTCTGAGCAATCATTTGCGGGCCCCGACCATGTAGTCGACACCTACCAACATGACTCAGTCCTGTTGTTAATGACTCAATGGATTTGTGCCATGTTTTGGCTTGACCACCCCTAGCTTTCTTCTAACCTATTCCTACTTCGCAAAACATAGCTCGACGAGGCACATGTCCCAACCACCTTGTTAGACATTTAACCAATGAATAATAATCTACTTGTTTTATGTTTTATTTTATTAACCTGGATATTGTTTTCTAATTTCATTTTTTAAAAAAGAGACAATTGAAACCAAAGAAACACAATATTCAAAACAAATCAATACCTACTTGTCTAAATCTAACTCGGTTAGACTGAATTGTGTTCGGCCAATGTAGGAATCTTTTTTAAATGGATCACGATGACAAACTTTTAACTAGGCAAAAAAATAAACATTAAAATAAATCAAACAATCATATTATTTGAAATCATGAATCGATCAATGTTAGACCACTACCCGAACGGGTTGAACTCCACTGGTCACGACTTCCCACTGGAACTCGGAGAAGATTCCTCATGGAGCTAGTCACTAGTGTGCACAGGTAATTGCCATACAGAGTTGTGAAGATTGTCAAGTTAAACATTTGAAATCATGTAGACAATAACTACTGAAGACTGTGCATGAGGTTGCGCATCTCCGTCAATTGATTGAAGTTAGACATTAACACCCTTAGATACCGGCTCAGTGGTCCAGAGGCTAGGCGTTCACGCGCAAGACCGAAGGTCCTGCGTTCGAATCCTGCGAGGTGCAGGAGTCGTGGATGCGCACTGCTGATGAGTCCCATACCAGGACGAAACGGCCGTCCAGTGCTTCCAGGTTTCTAATGGTGGTCTAACATGATTCCGAATGTGTAACTTATCAATCTTCACAACCTCGTAATGCAGTCATATTATTGATTTCTTTTATTTCTACAAGAAAACTCTCTAGTTCGATAGAATTTATTTTAAAATAATTAATCCCTCCTGAGAAGGAGATGTAATTGATTCGCGCTATACATATTTAGAATAATCTGGTCTCACACAACATATGCACTTGTCAAGGGATTATTCTATATGGGAGTTAATTAAAAGGTCAAATAAATAAAAGTTAAAGTAAACATGAGGTTATAATTGTAGATAAAACAGAGAGAAATTTAGCATAATATAGAAAGAATAAGAAAAGGGTAGGAAATTGTCACATCACCCACAAGCCATAAAATAGCTTAAAGATTACCAGGGTAAATTCAAGTTCCTAACAAACTGTTTTTGTACACATGAGGCGAATTTTAATTTACGAATTGCCAAGGCATCAATGAACCTCAGAATTCGTCTTAGGATGTTTCCGTACAATGTTTTATAGGCTGTCTTAATGTCAGTCCTATCCTTCGTTTCAGTTGCGTTTTTATTTGCGATGAACATGGTTTTCTATTTACCATGTTTATCGAGTCGTCCAACGTTAACTGATTTTAAAGCCACATAGGAATGTGTAACATACCTTGAAACAATGAATGAATCGTTTGTAGACCACCATTAGAAATCCGGAAGCACTGGACGGCTGTGTTGAGGATGTTAAATACCAAGAAATCGCTTGATAAAGGTCCCAGTTTTGGATTTTATTCATAGGCCAATCAGTTGACCTTAAGAATACATTTCCCACAAGGGAAATCCTTGACTGTCATTGATTTGGATTACGCCTGTTACCTCAAATGGAGCTTAGGCTGCCAACCAGCGAATTATTTTTCTGGTTAGCGTTTACTTTAGTGAGTTGGATTTCTATGGGATGGAGTCGCTAACCCCACACCCAACCCTTCTCCTTTATCCGGGCTTGAGACCGGCAGTAACCCTAGAAGGGCTACAGGTGGAGTTCCACAAATTTAGAAAAAAACAGAATAAATTTTGAAAAACTATTTTTTAAAATATCTAAATCGAATTGAAAAAAAAGTAGAATCTTAAACAATAAATTACCTCTATTGGCATATCTATGCTCCATAAACGAAACCAAAATTTTTCATCCCATACAGGATTACAATTATTTGGAATCATTCGACTTCTAGCTAAAACATTGCCATTATACTTGATTTTTACATATGGATTTGTTTTACCTGAGAAAAGCGAAACAGAATGAATACACAAGAATGTATGTAACTTTGAATCGAAAGTAGCCAAAATTGAAGGGTCATTTGATGACTAGAACTTTCCTAGATGAGGAACACATATCATTGGTCAAAGAATGGATTCATTTTCTAAAGAAGATTGTTAGTGGGACATAGATGGAATTAAAGCATGACTACGTTGCTGCGCGCTGATTGACTAATTTCTTATCCAATCAGCGCCTGATCGATTCTTGGAGAACAGGGTAGAAAATTCTCGTGTTGTTAGCTGTACTCTGATTGGCTAAATCTAATCCAGTCGATCACATGAATTACTATTCAGAAGCTTGTCACGTAAATACTATAAAGAAACTAACGCTGTATCTATTTTTGCCATCGCCTTCGCCATCACCTTTGGCTTCGTATTTCCATTTAACCTTGCTGTTTGGAACATAATCTTTTCCTGTTCAGCCGTGTTTTTGATTCTTGGGAACTTGTCCAGTGTATTGTGGTCAGAGAATACGAAGCAATAGGAATTAGCTGGGAATTATCTAAGCAAGCGTTGCAACAACGATGAATGTAGATATATATATACGAGCATTTTGGAGCTGAAATTCGGAGAGCCACGAAAGTCATCATCTACAAGATACAGGTGTTTATTAATAGACGTCTATTCAAGATACTCTACATCTGTTGACCAAACACCATCGTCAACAACCCACTCTGGAGGAAAACAAACCAGACTCCAGGTGAAGTTAGAAGATACATTGGGGAAAGCACCCAAAGCGACCCGCATAAGGCAAGCCTTAGCATGAAATTACCAAGACCAATGTAAAAGAGTTTGAACAAGGAACACATTACGTTGAGAGTTGGAGACGGACATGACAAGAATGAATACCTATCACTTAGAACTGGAAAAGCAATCCCCAGGACTGATTTGGTTGGAGAATGCTGTTCGGCAGCCTATACTCCATTAAGGGCAACAGGCGTGAGTAAGTGACTAACATGAACATTTATGTATACGATATCGATACCCAAATAGCCTTTTTTCAGTCTTACTTTCTCGCCCAATAAGTCAGTTCGGGGAGTTAGAAAGTATCACCTTCAGATCTCAATCACCACTCATTATCATCGACAGCCTAAGTTTTGAAAGTATTATATCTAACAAAAATGTTCTCATTCATTCATTTATTTTGTCAATAAAATATTCTTCAACTACATTTTAACTTTATCTGCATCAAAAATAGGTGAAGTTGGATGGTAAGATGAGCTTAAATAACCATTCAGATAAACTTGGAGAATTCTTGACATGATCAACCAGTCGGAAAACCCGATTATCAATATTCATTGACTTAAAGTAGTGTACCTTGAATTTTTGGACGAATCGCACCCTGCCCTTAATTCCATCCCTTAGTTCACCATCCGTAAGTGATATTCTAATATATGCTCTGTGACTTTGAAGCTACTGGCATGTTTATCATCAGCCTGTCCATATAGATCAGTTTTAGAAATAAATCTTTACTTAGTAATTTTTCACTGATAAATAGTTGTGTTGTGTTCTGAACAATGTAAGACTTAGTACAAATTAGCATCTTTTAGACTGTCTTACTTTGTACTAACACGAAGAGCGTAAAGTAATATAATATTAGCACTAAATATTGTGGAGATCCAAAAATGAATTTATCTATAAGTAATTCTGAACTATGTCCTTCAACATCTTAAAACCACTGATTTAAATTATTTCACATGTCACAACCTAGAAACCTACACAGTAAGGAACATATGATCAAAAGTGACCATCAATGATCTGATCAACTGACACCATTTTTGCGATCTAATTGTTCCTATCCACTCTGTCAAATACTTTCTTGTAGTCAATGAAGTTCATGTACAGCGGTGAATTCCATTCAATTGATTGTTCTACAACGATCCATAATATCGCGATTCGGTCAGTACATGATCGATCTTTACAGAATCCAGCCTACTGATCTGGAAGTCAAGTGTCTACTGAATCTTACTTTAAATTCGATCAGATGATACTTTCATTCAACAAATATGAATTCCAACAAAGGTTGTCAAGTTGACAGTTAAAAGAATTGAAAACTATTCCTAATCTACATTGCCTACTATGAAAAGTAAAACAGTTTTCACCTCACAAACTATGATGTTAGATTTTGACCGAATCAACATTTCAAAATAAAAAAAACATACGTTACAACTAAGTGATACATTTAACTGCTGAAATCTACTGAACAATGTTATATATTGGAACATTCAATGTGAAAAGTTCTATAACTTTCAGATATATCTATATCGAAATAATTATTGCTATTCACAATGAATATGTCATAATCACACATGTTAAATTAATAAACATTATCAAAGTATTTTGTAACTAATAATTCCAGTATGAATTGTTTACTTACTTTCGCCTGTTACATCCCAATAAAGTATAGGTCGGTGACCAGCATTCTCCAACCTAGTCTGTCCTGGGGATTCCTTTTTTGTTCTGTGCAATTGTTGTTCATCCATTTCATGTCTCAGTGTAACGTGTTCTTCAGTCCTGAGGATTTCAAGTGAGGGCTTGTGTTGTGACGCAATTCAGTGATTTTCTCAATATGTGTCCTATCCACTTCCACCACTTATTCCTGATTTCCTCCTCCGCTGGAATCTGGCTTGTTCTCTCCCAAAGTAGGTTATTACTGATAGTGTCTAACCAACGAATCCAAAGTAATTTGAGTAGACAACTGTTAATAAATACTCGTGTATTCTGGATGATGTCTTTCGTAGTTTTCCAAGTTTCCACCTCATACAATAGAACTGTCTTGACATTTGTATTGAAGATTGTGACTTCAGTGTTGGTTGATAGTTGTTTGGAGTTCCAGACCCTTTTTAGTTGTAGAAATGCAGCCCTTACTTTCCCGACTCGCACCCTCACATCTGCATCGGATCCACCTTTCTCGTCGATGATGCTGCCCAGATATGTAAAGGTGTTGACGTCCTCCAAGGCATCTCCATCAAGAGTGATATGGTTGGCGCATGTTTTGTTGTATCGTAGAATCTTGCTTTTCCCTAATGCATGTTGAGACCTGCTGCTGCTACACTCGTTATCTTTTCTTGCATTTGTTGTTGCGTGTGCGATAGAAGAGCCAGATCGTCTGCGAAGTCCAGATCGTCCAACTGCATCCTGGCTATCCATTGGATACCGTGCTTCCTTGCAGATGCTGACGTCCTCATAATCTAGTCGATCACCAGGAGAAAGAGAAACGGTGAGAGTAAGCAACCTTATCTTACACTGGTCTCCATTTGTAATGAGTCTGTGAGCTGATTTCCATGAACGATTTTGCAGTTTAATCCATTCTAAGAGTTCCTTATGATGTTAACTACATTCCCAGGCACGCTGTAGTATCGGAGAAGCCTCCATAGTGTCGTTCTGTCCATTCTATTGAATACTTTCTTCTAGTCAATGAAATTGATATGGAGTGGTGAATTCCATCATGAATGATACTAATAATCTCCTTTAGTCACTGTAAAAATTTAGATATATATACTTTAATATATACTAAATGATATAATCAGATCATTTACCTTTATGACTAGAAGATACTAATTTAACACCAAGTTTGATCAATAATGCAACTGACCAGAAATAACCATCACGTGGAAAATGCTGCAGAAAGTAATGTACGAAGAAAATAAAGAATTTCACTGTATGAATAATTTGAGTAGTAATCAGTATGCCACTGTAATTTTTTATGTCATCATCAAGGTCAAATAAAATCACATCGTTCATTGATTGGTCCATTGTAATTTTATATTAATCGTAACTCAGTTATTTACCAATGAAAAAGCCTCATTATTTCAAAGAGAAATTCAGAAAGTCCAATACTGTGGAGTCCTACAATAAAATAAAATAATTTCCGTCTGCTCCAAGGTTTCTAGTATCGATTATTATTCTTTACGAGTCAATCAAAGGGAGACAGAGGAAAAAAAGTTACTCACTTTCATTCGCATATTAGATCTCAACAACTCCGATTGTGATAGCCATCTTTGCAAATTTGAGTTGATTTTTCTATCGACTATTGAATATTGATTTTGTGGTGAGAAATCTTTCGACACACTTTCATCTTGATCATATTGATCTAAACTAAGTAAATCATCTATTGAACTGGTTACAGGCATGGAATTCAATTCATCACCGTATGACATTGGTGATGATGTATTCAAACGAGAAAAACTACTCGATTGACCAGTGAAACTACTTGATGAATGTTGAACATCTTCATTCGATTGAATATTTTCATTTTTCTGATGATTATTTTGATTTTGATGTTGACAATGGTTATTTGTAGTGTGATTCTCAGTATCATTTTGATACATATCCTCATCCTCGTCGCTACTGTCATCATCATCATCATCGTCAGCATAACTTTTATTTCCAGTAAAACCATTAAAACTACTACTATTATTACTGTGAGTAGTAAAAACATTAAAGTTAAATTTAGTTTTGATAATTCCATCATCAGCATAATCATCATCATTATCATAGTGATTTTCCCTGACTGGATTATAAGAACTTTCTTCATTCTGTAGAAGGTTTATTTCTTCAAACTTTTTCTTCACATCCGCTATAAAGGTTTGAACGAAAAGAAAATCAGTCAATCAGATAGTTTGTACATTGATTTACAGTTCGGATAGTTTAACACTTGGAAGATAAATTACTACTCAAATGACCTTGATATCAAATTCATAATTGGTTGATAATTCATCAGCGGAGTGTATCGAAAATATTTATCAAGAACTAAGAGTCCATAAAAATATTCCAACTACACTGATCATCCAAGATTCCTATTGACTAGTAGTAGTTAACTTCTATATTACTTGGAATATACAATTTGAAGTCGTATATTTCTGCGTATAAATTCAATTTTTTTCAGGGACATTCATAATAGTTAAATGCATTTCTTCAGATGAAAAATTTCTGTACCCTTATTGCATATGTCAATGGATGAATTTTGAGCACACTTATTTCTGTAAAGTCTCGTTTATATTTAAATTTAATGAAATCCAGTTCCAAAACATCTTATCGATTGATTCCCACGAACCAAAAGTTTGAATTACTCTAAGTTGATAGTTCCACAGTTGGAACTGGATTGATAGGACTTGGTCACATACAAAAAAGCAGACTAAATAATTTTAACCTTCTGCGATTTGCCCTCCTCCTCCGAAATACAATATAATGCTTCAGTAAGGGTCTGCATAGGCACCTGAACTAGTGATAGGGAGTGAAGTAGTTGAGCTTATTGACCGCTTCACTTATCTCTAGAGTCTCATCAATGTTGATGGCTTGATGTCTGACAAAGTCTGAGGTCGGATACAGAGGTCTCGACTGGCTTTTGCCAACTTGATTCATTTACGGCGTAGATATCCGTTTTCTGAATAAAGGACGAGTGTACTGTGTACCAGTTCACAATTACTTAGGTGCATTCATTCCTTGTGTTCTCTCAAAACCTTACCTTCAGACTTTCTCATCACCTTTATCTTTCTCTTTTTAAGTTTATTTCGCTACATACTACTTCTTGAATAATATCTTCAAACCCTAATCTCTTCAATAGTGTTAATACTTGTACTACCTCTACTACTATGGCATTTGAACTGACAATCGCATCTTTGTGCTTGAAATGATATGTGGATGTCTAAAGTCTTATCTTGTAGCTAACTGACTGACTGAATCATGTTAAATACCGACAGTAACTTCAAAAATGATTTTAGATTGTGTTGCGTAATATAAATCATTGTCATTCCGGTATGATGAATAAATCAAATATCGATGTAGACAATATTACCTGTTTTATACCTCTGTTTCGGTCTGTCCGATCACTTAAAAATGTCACATGAATTTTTAGTACTTTTCTTCAGCCTCCATCAATACAACTCTTCATTTGGTCTTATTTTCACCTCTCTCTGCTCAAGTTGAGTGATAAAAATTTTCTTAAGAGCCTTAAGTAATTATGAAAATCACTTCCAGCTAAAACTTATTTTGTTTAGAGTTCAAGTGTTGAAGGTTAGAAGAGTTTAGATATCGGCTTCGAAGCTGGCACTTCGAATATTCTGTATATATATATATATATATATATATATATATATATATATAATGTTACTTCATTCACTGTCTTCAAGGAGCACTGCTTCACACCCCAACAGGGTTGAACACCACTGGTCACGCCTTCCCACCACAACTCGGAGAAACTTCTTCACAGAGCTAGTATTATGTGGTTACGAAGACTGTTAACTGGATCCGCACTGCTGATGAATCCCATACTACGACGAAATGGCCATCCAGTGCTACCAAGTTTCCTAATGATGGTCTAACATTGATCGATTCAATGATTTCAACAGAATATCCCAACAATCGCTACAACTACATAATGCATATATCATATTAGTCATACTTTTCAAGTTTCTATAATGACTAAACCATATAAAGATATAGAACATCAATTCTACATGAATTTTCAAGAAAAAAGAAAGGTGATTAATTTTTTTAACATTCACTTACACATATTATTTAACGTACCGACCACTTTATCGAAATATTTTATCAATCTTTTATTGGTAAGTCGTTTGGATTTTGATTTCTAATATAGGAAATGTATAACAAGTAGGAGTACAGCTGTAATGGAATGAACTATAATAATTGCAAAAATATAACATACATACTACAATCATGAAGATTGGATTGATTTTTAAAAAAAATATCAAGTTTATTTCGATCGAAAGTAAAGTTAAATTCAAGCATACATGTGTATGTGTATGTTGAGTTTCAATGAAATGATGCATCAGTCATTGTTAGGCCACCATTAGAAATCTATGATCACTGGACAATTGTCAAGTCCTAGTATGCGACTTATTAGAGACAAGCTTTGTGAGGAAATTCTTGAAGTGGAACTCAACCTGACAGATATAGGCAGTTACCGTTCAAAAATTATGAGTGAGGTTACGCAATACCTTGGATTGATTAAAATGAGACATTAACACAGTTGAATGCCAGCTCGGTGGTCCAGAGGCGCGTGACATCAACGGTCTCAAGTTGAATTCCCGATTACTGCCGATGGGCCCTACAGTAGGACTTGATAGTCATTTAGTGTTTACACGTTTCTAATGGTGATCTAACAATGATTCATTGATGATTTCAGTGTGTAAAAATACTAATCTCCATAACTCTAATTGAAAAATCGTAAAATTTGCTTACTAGTGACAAGCTTCGTGAGGAAATTTTATGAAATCTAGTGAGAAGACGTGACCAGTGGAGTTCAACCCTGTCGGGTGAAGGCAGTAACTACGAAAGACAAATAAGTGAGGTCGCGCAGAATAATTAGATCAATCAGAGTCCGGCATTAACACTGGCCCAGTGGTCCAGAGGTTGGCCGTTTGCGCGCAAAACTGAAGGTCACGGGTTCCAATCCTGCGAGGAGCAGGAGTCATGGAAGCGTACTACCGATAAGTAGTCTCATATCAAGACGAAAGAAGATCCAGGGCTTTCAGGTTTCTAATGGTGGTCTAACAATTACTGATTGATGATTTCTAATAAATTCAAAAATCTTCTCAGCCCTATGGTGAAAATTATCTTGTGCACACTAGCATTTAGCTTAGCGAGGAAATTCTTGCAGTTCTAGTGAAAAGCCTTGGCCAATAGAGTTCAGCTATTTCGAGTGTAAGATAGTCACTCAATAAAGAAAATGGATGAGGTTGCGACATCCCTTAGATTACTGATCAAAGTTAGACATTAACACCGTTGAATGCAAGTGGCTCAGTGGTCTAACTGGTTAAGTGTTTGCACACAGGGTTGTAATGGATGCGATGAGCTGATGAGTCCCATTCAGAGACAAGACGACCGCCCAATAATTTGACTAACGGTGATTTCCAGTTCAGTTAATCACTTACTGAAAACAATGAATGTATATTATTAGTACACAAATAAAAGATTCACCATACATTTTCCAGTTAGAATTTATTAAAAATTAAAAAAAAACTAGTTTTCAGACAGTATTATTATTACTAAAATTATCGCGTAACCTCTCAAATCGGTATGATTACTTTTAAACTTATTATTATTATCATTATCACATGACCTTGGTTGGTATCAAATGTCAATTGTTCAATGATCAAACTAATGAAATATTACTTATTTAAAAAGTAGAATTCAATTCATTTATTTGTTTTACCAAACTATAGTTAAACAATCTTTCGATATTATATAGAGAAAAAATAATAATAACCGATTCCATTTTATTGAAACATTTAATTTGATTGTTAAAGATTAATAATAATGTCATCTATAATGTAATAAATAATTTTAAGAAAAATTGAACATTGAGCAGCTATACTGCCCTCGTATTTGTTTTACGTAAGAATCAATCAATCAATCAATCACACAGCTTATTGTTCTGAAATGAAATTTTGATTGATTACATGACCAGTTTAGCGATTAGAGTAATAATTTTGACATATGAACTTACTACTCCCCATGTGTGAGTGATGTCAGATAGCTGTGTTCGGTTAATGACTAGGTTTGTTCTTTCAAAACAATATCCTAAACTGTTGTTTAGAATTGGTAGATTCAATCTGAGAACTATCACAGAGCTACTGTCAGCGTCATTAAATAGCTTG